AGCCCAGGAGTTGGAGATTGCTGTGAGCTGTAATGCCATGGCACTCTACCCAGGGGGACAGCTTGAGGCTCTGTTTCAAAAAAAAAATTAAAACTCCATTTTAAACAGTATCTGGCATGAGAAGCAGTGACAACCCTCTTCTAAACATAGAATAAAAGGTTAAAAGTTACAAAGAAGGTCACAGTACACAGTGACCAGCATTCAGCTGGGTACCAGGGCTGAGAAGTGGGCAGAAGAGAAGGACCGGTCTCAACCAGAACTTCCCACAGCTTCTCCAGAAGTGAACTGAGGAAGTGTGGATTGGAACTGGGAATGGAGCTGGGAGGCCAGTGAGCAGGCGGAAGGAAGGAGTGTGCTCTGGCAGGACAAAAAGTCCTTCTCTTCTTATCCATTGGGACTCAGGATACAAATGGGATTGCACTGCAGGGCTGAGTATAAGACACAGAGTTTCCTTAATGAAGCTCAAGATACCCATCCTCTACATTTATCCTTATCTACCCATGCATTTATTGATAATAGGGCTGAAAGGCCTGTGTCTCTCAAATCCTAAATTATCTTGTACAAATAATGCTTGCTGTTTGTAGCAGCCCATATAGCCTATGCTAGGAGGAGTGAAAGTTATAAGAAATACCTGTGTAGCTCAATAATGGAGCACCTTGGTGAAAAGGGCATGGAGAGGGATTTAGCTCGCCTAATAACCATGAGAGCTTGTGAGATGACAGCAGTGGTGAATTAGCAGTCTCTACGCCTGTGGTGTTGAGAGACACGAGATCAGCCTTATATTAGGCTGGAGGAGAAGTTAGTTGGGATAGTGCAGTTTCTATCACGGACCCGCTTGCTCTGACTCTGTCTCCTCTCCTGCCTGCAGAACACCAGCACGGCATCTCTCTGCAGAAGATTACCAAGCTCTGCTAAAGACTACGATCTATCTATTCTAAGACAGCTTTACTCTAAGACTATCTCTCTCTCTCTCCAGCGAAAGTAGATAGCCCTCAGGCACCTAAGAGAAATTGTTCCTGAGCAAGGTAACTTAGCGGTCTGCATCTGGAACCTATTTCAGCCGGGCTGAGACCTGGTCAGTCCTGGGCCCTGACAAGTGGTTGCAGTGGTGGGCTGAGACAGCTGTTTAATTTCCTGCAGGCATATGTGTATATATTTTACACATTCACACACAGACACACACATGGTACTCTCTTCCATGTACACATGAAGAGAGAGCAAGAGAAAAAAAAGGAATTCAAGTGAGAAGACGTCTGTGTGTATGTACACGTGTCCACTTTTTATTTATATGTACATACATACATGGGAAGATCGATTCTAAGACGAAAATTATGATAATTTCTTAGAAAAATCTAAGATTACTCACCACAGGGGCTGCAGGGAGAGATAAAACAAAAACTGTAATTTCTCCCAAGGCCAAAATAAACAAATCAAACATATAATAGATAAAAAAGAGACCAGTGTAATGCATTTGAACTCTTGGTAAGAAGTGATTGATCAACTTGCATTTATTAGTGACCTCTAAGAATACACCATGTTGGCTCGGCACCTATAGCTCAACCGGCTAAGGCGCCAGCCACGTACACCTAAGGTGGCGGGTTCGAATCCTAGCCCGGACCCGCCAAACAACAATGATGGCTGCAACCAAAAAATAGCCGGGCGTTGTGGCGGGCGCCTGTGGTCCCAGCTACTTGGGAGGCAGAGGCAAGAGACTCGCTTGAGCCCAGGAGTTGGAGGTTGCTGTGAGCTGTAATGCCATGGCACTCTACCCAGGGGGACAGCTTGAGGTTCTGTCTCCAAAAAAAAAAAAAAAAAAAGAATACACCATGTTACTGCAAAGTCGTTAAGTGTGGTTGCATTTACGGCCGGTGGACCAGTCCCGTGACAGGATAGAAACAGCTCACCCTCCTCTCTCTCCACATGCAAGTCGCACCACCGGTTATGTCAAACACAGAGGGAAAACTTACCCATATTTATCTCTTGCTTTCCACCAATGAACGTCGTTCTTTTCTAATATGATATACTCTTGGCCTCTCTCCAACCTGAGGTCATGGGCTTCTGTCGCTTGGAAATCGTACATCGCCACAACTATTTCTTCATTATTATCTTCTTCTGGCGGAATTGGTGGGGGAGGTCTTCGCTATGCAAAGAAGATGACATTGGAAAGTTTAATCTTCTATTTGAACCGGTCATGGAGCAAAACACTAAATGAGTCACATGTCACCAAAGAATAAAGAAGAAATTTCAACTCTACCAAATAGAATATGGTGAACCCTCCCATGAGTTTGGTGATGTTACTGGCCCTCTCGGGGGTTTCAGAATATAGGAGATAAGCAAAAACTGTCTTTAAACATTAAAAGGCAAGGGTGATATACAGGTAGAAACCAAGATTGAAGGTAGACCCATCACCCAAACAGCCTGCAATGGGACAAAAGCACACCGTGAAATCTGCCAGCATCCTGCCACTCACCACAATTGTCACATGGGAAGCCAGTGACGTGGCTTGGGACCAACCACACTGTTCCTCATTTATTCTTAAAACTGTTCCCATGAAGTAGAGCTTTATAATTCCCATTTTATAACCAAGGTGACAATGGCTTAAATAATCCACCCAAAGTCAGTCACGTCACATGAATAAACATAAACAAATGACCCAAATGCTTAAAACTCAAAGGCTTTACTGTGATAGTTAAAGACCACCTACCTTCTTTATTTCTGGGGCTGGAGGTAGTGCTTTCCTAATACCTGAAAACCACCAAGGAAAGCACGTCAGAATGCCATCCGCCCAGGGTCATCAGGGAGATGCGGGGAGGTTTAAGGAAAGTGAGAGCCTACACGCAGGTAAGACGACGCTCTCAGGGGCTCCGGGCACGCTGCTTGGGTCTCTGTTCTAGAACAGAACTAAAAACTGCGGTGATAGCGGGTCTGTATTTCTGCCTTCCTGAACAGACTGCACCATAAGGCCTGGACCACACCTCTCTCTCTGTGCCCCCAGCACTGTGTAAACTGATCACTCAACAGTGACAGACTGACGTCACCACAAGGCTGAGAAATGCCTGCACTAGGATGCTGTGGCAGTCGGCCCTCCCCCTGCAGTGTCTGTCCTAGAGCAGTTTGGCTGACACCAGCTACCCACACTAAAAACTGTTATTTCCCAGTGAGGTGTCACCATGAGACCAGATTCTAATAGACAGGCTCTGTGTATAAATGGGTGTGCCGTTTTTAGAACTTATCTTTAAAAGGACTTCCCGTGGGCACCCTTGATCCCTTTCCCCCTTTTGGCTGCTGGGAAGAGAGAGATGACCAGAACTGAGGAACCACTGCAGACTACCCTGCCAATTGTGAACCCCACCTGCCACCTGTCGATTATTACAGGGGAGGGAACTATATATCTCTCTAGTTCAACTCACTATAACTTTTGGATCTCTTTTTAGAAGAGGTCAGACCATTCAGTAACTAATATCAAGAACCTGAAAGAAGGCTCAGCACCGTAGCACAGAGGGGTCACGTAGCACCTATACCAAGGCTGGCAGGTTCGAACCCGGCCCAGGCCAGCTAAAAACAATGACAACTGCAACGACAACAACAAAAATAGCTGGGCATTGTGGCGGGCACCTGTGGTCCCAGCTATTTGGGAGGCTGAGGCAAGAGAACTGCTTAAGCCCAAGAGTTCGAGGTTGATGTGAGCTGTGATGTCACAGCACTCTACTGAGGGCGAGCGACATAGTGAGACTCTGACTCAAAAAAATTTTAAAAAGGGCAGTGCCTGTGGCTCAAAGGAGTAGAGCACTGGCCCCATATACTGGAGGTGGTGGGTTCAAAACTGGCCTCAAACAAAAACTGCAAAAAAAATTTTTTAAAAATGAATAAAAAAGAACATCAAAGAGTAGGAAACAATAACAGCTTTGGAAACTTGGGCTTTCCTCTCTAATAGGCCAAATTCATGTCAGGACATCCCAGGAGAACCAGGCTGCTGGGACTCATAGGGTTGAAGCCTGGATGGACCAAGAAGGTCACCTGGTCTGGTTCCTGCCAAATGGCCAGCAGCATCCCTGCCAAATGGACTCTGCCTGTTGTATCCAGAAGCTCTCAGTAACTGCCCACCCAACTGCAACAGGAAAAGAGAAGTTCAGTGTACACAGTCACTCTCACTGCCCCGTAGCACTAGGAATTTTGAACCTATGTATTTTTAGCCAAGGGCCTTTCATTCCCAGGATGGATAAAGGTCTTAATGTCGCAAAAAAACCTACACATTTTTATTCATTTGGAAAACAACTGAGTATCATTGTGACACAAACCACTACTAAAATCCATACCACTTGGCTCAGCGCTGGCCACATACACCATAGCTGGTGGGTTCAAACCCAGTCCAGGCCTGCTAAACAACAATGATAACTACAACAGAAAAATAGCCAGTCATTGTGGCAGGTGCCAGCAGTCCCAGCTACTCGGGGGGCTGAGACAAGAGAATTGCTTAAGCCCAAGAGTTTGAGGTTGCGGTGAGCTGTGACGCCATGGCACTCTACTGAGGGCAACATACTAAGACTCGGTCTCAAAAAAAAAAAAAAAAAATCCATGCCACTCAGCCCCATCAAAATGTGAAGACTTCTACTTAGTGACTGCATGGCTCTGGGAGGTTTCTGGCTCCACGTCTGGGAAGAGTTTATTTGTTGAAACAACGTAAACATTTACATGAAGCAAAGTTGCTGCTGGCTCCAGAGTTGGCTCGTACTTTCAACAGATTCACTTTTTTTTTTTTTTTTGAGACAGAGCCTCAAGCTGTCACCCTAGGTAGAGTGCCATGGCATCACAGCTCACAGCAACCTCCAACTCCTAGGCTCAAGCGAATCTCTTGCCTCAGCCTCCCAAGTAGCTGGGACCACAGGCGCCTGCCACAACGCCCGGCTATTTTTTGGTTGCAGCCATCATTGTTGTTTGGCCAGCCTGGGCTGGATTCGAACCTACCACCTTAAGTGTATGTGGCTGGCACCTTAGCCACTTGAGCCACAGGCGCTGAGCCAACAGATTCACTTTCAACAGGTTTCAAAGTTGTGATAAAAGCCCCTAAAATAGGCACCCTTTGATTGCATACCTCCCACTGCCAACTAAATAATTTTTCTTACAAAACACACCTCCCCTATGTTTACTCTGTACCAGAAAGGGTGCTGTACTTAATCAAAATCAAAATCATCTCACTTTCTTGCCATACCAACCATATATACATTCTGAGTATATCATAAATGTAAAATAAAATGATCACTTACTACTCTCAAAAAGATTATATTTTTCACATCCAGGTGCTAATTTTTCAGTTTGTCGGCAACACTGATAACTTCCATCTGTCCAGAATTTAGGATGATATTTAATCATAATATTATTGTTGTTCTTTATTTCTGTAATGCACAGACACACGAATAATTAGTGAAAGAAAACAGACTACAAGGTGTTTCATAAGTATTACTGTCTGTCGCTACTTATTCCTGAGATGCTAGGTCTGTTACCAGAACACCCTCGTAACATTATAAAACTCAGCATTCAGAAAAGCTATATGGTTCTCTTTCAGCTCTGTTTTCTGTGGTTGTTGTTTGTTTGTTTTGTTTTGTTTGTGAAGCACCCTCGTCGGCAGAAATGATTGCTGACACACCGCATTAGATAAACGAAGTCAGGCCACCACCATTTGTTCTGCGGGAGAAGCAATGAGGCTTGCGCAGCACAAATCACTCATTTTAACATTTCATGAACATGTGGATCCATCCACACCAAATGTTAACTACATGGGCAACCTCTTAGAAAAACCTGTTATCACGAAAGCCCAAGTTTTATTGTCTTCAAATATATCACCTAAAACCGAGGCATGCTTTTCTTAGAAACCATATCCCACTAGATTCAGGTTTTTAAAAGGAAGTCATCTTCAATATGCTAGCATCACCTACAGTTATAGTAACAGAACTGGAGGAACCTTATATTGTGGATTAAGAGATTATACAGGCAATGGATACGTTAGTTGTATTTCTGTTTTAGTCATAACCATGCCTAAAAGCATGTACAGATTAATACGGCATCATGTAAATTTTACCTTCTTTTAACTTCTTCACCCACCGGTCTCTGCTTTGTGCACTAGGTGCAAAAACGTAAAGCGTATTAGCATCATGAACAACCTAAAATAAAACAAAAGATGGAATCAGGGAGAAACACTTAGACACAGCACTTCTGTATCTCACAGGCTGTCGGTACCACCAGGCACCAATAAATGATTCTCAAAAGACTGAACAGAAGTCACTTACTTCAGATCCAAAGAAACTAGATGCCTTTCTTACAAAAACACATCTCTTTCTTCATTTCCACACTGAGTGGGATACTTATTTTGCAAAGGACTATGTTTTTATAGAAGGAGAAATATACCGAGGCCACAATCTTCATTAATCTTGGCATTTCTTTCAATCGAAGGAACTAAACTCGTTGGGTGACCCTGGTCACCCAATCCAGTATTTTTCTAAACAGTAATTGAGATGAATGGCTCTTACCTATCACCCCTATAGCTTCCTTTCACCACCATCAGTAACCACAGTAGCTCATTTTATTTACCACTGACTATCCCAGCTCTATATTATGTCCTTTTTTTTTTTTTTTGAGACAGGAGCCTCAAGCTGTCCCCCTGGGTCGAGTGCCATGGCATCTCAGCTCACAGCAACCTCCAACTCCTGGGCTCAAGCGAGTCTTCTGCCTCTGCCTCCCAAGTAGCTGGGACCACAGGCGCCTGCCACAATGCCCGGCTATTTTTTGGTTGCAGCCGTCATTGTTGTTTGGCAGGCCTGGGCTGGATTCGAACCCGCCACCTTGGGTGTACGTGCCTGGTGCCTTAGCCACTTGAGCCACAGGCCTTTATAGACATTAACTCAATTGATCCTACCATCAAGGTATGAGTTTTTCTATTTTATACATGAGGAAACTAAGGCTTAACTCCTGGGTAAATTCAAGAGGCAACATTCACAGGCACACCCTGAAAATGGTGCCCCATAATGCTGAGTTAGCTAACCTGCCTGCAACATTCAAGGGATGATCCCGAGGGCAGGTGCCCCGTAACACTGAGTTAACCTGCCTGTGACATTCAGGGGATGATCCCGAGAGCAGGGGCCCCGTAACACTGTGTTAGTTAACCTGCCTGTGACATTCAGGGGATGATCCCAAGAGCAGGAGCCCCGTAACACTGTGTTAGTTAACCTGCCTGCAACATTCAGGGGATAATCCCGAGAGTAGGGGCCCCATAACACTGAGTTAGTTAACATGCCTGCGACATTCAGGGGATGATCCCGAGAGGGCCCTGTAACACTGTGTTTGGCAGGCCTGGGCTGGATTCGAACCCGCCACCTTCGAATCCACCACGGGGCAGGGGCCCCGTAACACTGAGTTAATTAACCTGCCTGCGACATTTAGGGGATGATCCTGAGAGCAGGGGCCCTGTAACATTGAGTTAGCTAACCTGCCTGCAACATTCAGGGGATGATCCCGAGAGCAGGAGTTCTGACTCTATAACCTGGATTCTGACTCCACAGCCACGGTTTTATCTACAAATAGCGGCAGCCACTAGTGGACAACTAAATAGTCTTATTTTTAATATTAGTAATAACATAAGCCTGGGAAATAAACCCGGAAGTTTTGTCATTGTTCTGTCACTTTACCCTTATCTCAAGGCACAAACACCTGTCTGTCTAAAATGTAACATACGCCGATAGAAGACATTTAGTAATTATTGAACCCAAGCTGGGAAAGAAAAGATACAAAGTGACATGTTTAACATATTTTTTAATAAAGGCCTAGAACATCAGGAGTTTGCATCCACCTTTCACGTGGACAGAGATTTTTTAATGGACCTTGGGTTAAAACAGATTACCACCATCAAGGGCTCTACTAGTTAAAGAGCTCCAAAGCAAAAAGTAGGAAAAGATATCTTAGTACACTAAAGCTGATTTTCCTTCTCACAGGAAAAAATTTTAAATTCCGGCCCTTTAGAGCAGGAAGTAGACCACACTATGAACCCGTAAATGAGTCTGAGCCCTTTCTGGTCACAGACACGAGGATACTGGGCAGGTCCTGTCATTTCTCTGGCCCATCATCCATAAATATAAAGGTTTGGGGACTTCACTATATAATTCACTATATAATTTTTATTGACCATTTTGGCTTTAAAATTCAACAACTCAATATTTTTCTTTCACAAAAGCATGTTACTAAAATGTTCCCTAATCATTAAATACAAATAAATATATAACGAGCTTAATATACATCCAAATATAGAAAATACACACAATATGTGTAAAAAAAAAAAACAAAGTTTTTTCCCATGGCTAGAAACCACCATTTACCAAATCAACACCCACTGGATTGAAAAACAAATAGCTCTTTCATTGACAAATGGCTGTTCCTAACCATATTCAATAGACAATTCCTTCCTGTTTCTTTTAATCAAATAGACACACTCTAATGGCAATGTGAACACCAGCAAACAAGTATTCTGCATACCCTTCAATACAGGGGTCCATACCCTTCAACATTGGGGGTCCTATCCCCTTCAACACGCAGGTCCATACCCTTCAACACTGGGGTCCATACCCTTCAACATGGGGGGGTCCATACCCTTCAACATTGGGGTCCATACCCTTCAACATGGAGGGGTCCATCCCTTCAACATGGGGGAGGTCCATACCCTTCAACATTGGGGGTCCCATACCCTTCAACATGCAGGTCCATACCCTTCAAAACAGGGAGTCCATACCCTTCAACACTGGGGGTCCATACCCTTCAACACTGGGGTCCATACCCTTCAACATGGGGGGGTCTATACCCTTCAACTTTGGGGGTCCCATACCCTTCAACATGCAGGTCCATACCCTTCAATATGGGGGGTCCATACCCTTCAACACAGAGGTCCATACCCTTTAACACTGGGAGTTCATACCCTTCAAACTGGGGGTGCATGCTTTTAACATGGGGGTCCCATACCCTTCAAAATGGGGGCTCCATGCCCTTCAACATGGGGAGTCCATACCCTTCAACACTGGGGTTCCATACCCTTCAACATGCAGGTCCATACCCTTCAACACTGGGGTTCCATACCCTTCAACATTGGGGGTCCCATACCCTTCAACATTGGGGGTCCCATACCCTTCAACACTCA